AGTGTATTTATATTTTTTTTAGATAACTTAAAAATTTATGCCAAAAATTTAAATAACTGAATTTTTGTTTTTTTTATCTCCTACAAACAGTTTTTTTCACGATATTTGGTGAAAGCTTATCTTTTTATGCTCCAAACACTTAGTATTTTTTTTTATTTAAAATATTTATGTTTGACTAATTTTATATCGAAAATCACGTCAAGTTTTTTGCTTTTTTACAAAATTTTATTCGTTGAAATTCCTACTTTCTGATGGTGTAAAAAATATACATTACTATTGCGAATTTTCCCAGAAAAAACAAAAAAACTAGAATTCGAAATTTTATTTAATCATTATGTTAAAGGCTATAGCGGGATAAGATGGTCAAAAGTGCCCCCGCATCGATCAGCAGCGCAATCTGTGCTTTCGATAAAGTGTATAAAAACATGACTTCATACAAATTTTCAGCTTTCCAGAGGCCACGGAACCTCTTCAATCTAAAAAAGAAGCTTTTTTTGACTTTATTGTTTTCTGGACGCAATTTTGCTTTAAAAAATCTGAAAAAATTCATGAAGGTGTATCTTTTGAATACAAAATAGCCTGATTTTTTTCAAATTTTTATATTAAAAATTGAGCCTAGGAAAAATTATTGAAATTTTCAATAATTTTTTAGGTTATGTTAATAATTTTTGGCTAACTTTTAAATAGTAATTTTTTGTGTATTTTTGTTTGCTCTTTTGAATGGCCAAGGCAAAATTTTCAAATTCTGAGCGGAAAGCATCGAAAAATAAAAAAAAACCGTTTTTTACTCATTTATTTGCACATAACCTTAAAACTCAGTTGTTAATTGAACATTTTTCAACATTTTTTCTTTCCACATTATTAAATTATGTTATGTATGAAAATATTTAGATTGTAATATTACTACTAAAATTGTATATTACTTTTAATATGTGATAATAAAGCTAAGACAGTCAAAGCGATACGAAGGCGACACCAAGGCGAAAGCAGTAACGACAGAAACAATGTCTGCAACGCGCATACTCCCATTGTCGTTGTCATGGTTACAGATCATGCGCGTAGCAGACATTGTTGATGTCGCCACTGCTTTCGCTTAGTGTCGCCTTCGACTCACCGTTGCCTTCGTATCGCTTTGACTGTCTTAGCCCATAGAGTACGATATGGATACGCGTGCCTATGGTAGTTATAATATTCAACTCTAAACTTTGATTTGACCAACTACTTCGAGAATTTTAATACGACTCGAGATTTTCGATATTAACTCGCAACGGATATGCGATTAAAAACGATAAATACAATTGTTGAGGAAGGGTCAATCTTAAAGTTATTGTTTTTTTTTTCGAGTTATGACTATATAAGAAAAAAAAAGACAAGTGGTATAATAAAACTGAAGGGTACCCGGTACAATCAAAAGTACACGGAAATTCGATCATTTATCTACTACATTTTAAGGTTATGAGCCAATAAAGTGGGAAAATATTATAAATACATGATTTATTCGCATTTTAAGAATTTGTTAGTTAAAAAATGATTATTTTAACAACGATGATTCATAGCCCGTAAGAGAATAGATGGAAAAGCATACATCTAATTATCTGATTTTGAGTTAAGGTAAAAAAGTGCGAAATGGATAAAAAACGTGGTATTTTCGAATTTTATCCTTTTGAAAGAGTTAAATGGGAACATATACAATAGAATTTGATAATGTGGAAAGAAAAAATGTTGAAAAATGTTCAATTACCAACTGAGTTTTAAGGTTATGTGCAAATAAATGAGTAAAAAAACGGTTTTTTTTATTTTTCGATGCTTTCCGCTCAGAATTTGAAAATTTTGCCTTGGCCATTCAAAAGAGCAAACAAAAATACACAAAAAATTACTATTTAAAAGTTAGCCAAAAATTATTAACATAACCTAAAAAATTATTAAAAATTTCAATAATTTTTCCTAGGCTCAATTTTCAATATAAAAATTTGAAAAAAATCAGGCTATTTTGTATTCAAAAGATACACCTTCATAAATTTTTTCAGATTTTTTAAAGCAAAATTGCGTCCAGAAAAAAATAAAGTCGAAAAAAGCTTCTTTTTTAGATTTAAGAGGTTCCGTGGCCTCTGGAAAGCTGAAAATTTGTATGAAGTCATGTTTTTTATACACTTTATCGAAAGCACAGATCGCGCTGCTGATCGATGCGGGGGCACTTTTGACCATCTTATCCCGCTATAGCCTTTATTAAACTTTACATTTTAAATACTCGAAAAACTTGATTCCCTGTTACATTAATAATCTAATAAGTGCAAATTAAAATATACTATTATAATTAACAACCAAAAGTTAATCAAACTTAATAAAACTCTTTTTGTTCCAAATAACGATGCAAGATATAATATATTACAGTATATTAAAGAAAAACACATTAAAGGATTTCGATAAAAAAATTTTAGCTCGTTTGAGAAATGTGCCTGATTTAGTCGCAGTACCTACAAGCGAATTATCATTCTGCCTGTGTGCCTACTTTTTATAGAGAAAGTAAAAGGGTTCGTTTAGCATATGAAAACACTACTGTGAAAAAACTCTATTAATTTCCTATTACTTCATATACTATGAGTTTTTATATGATATAAATCTAATTAAAATTTAATAAATCAACTTTTTTATTAAAAAATTGCAGCAGTTATATTTTTAGATAATATCCCTTTTAAATCATATCTTTAATATTTAGAAAATCAATCATTTTCAACATAAATGTACAATTTTTTCTTTGATGAATGTAGAATTAAATCTTACTTTTTTCAAGAAATTAAACTATAAAATTAAACTGTTTAATAAATAGCTGAAAATTTTTCATAATGATCGAAAAAAATTTCGAATTCGAGTTTTTTCGTTTTTTTATTTATTTTCCAAGAAAATTTGCTACAGTAATGATATTTTTTTACATCAACTGAAAGTAGAGATTTTAATGAACAAAAACCGCACCGATTTTTTTTAAATCAGATACTTTGATGTGTAAATCTTCGATTAAAAATTAGGATGCTTTTTTATATTAAACCAAAATAAGGAGAAAAAATAAATATTTTAAATAACAAGAATTACAGTGTGTTTAGAACATAAAAATGTAAGTTTTCAAGAAATTTTGTAATTTTTTTTGTGTAAGATAATAAACAACCAAACACTGGATTGTTTAAATTTTTCGCATAAATTTTGAGGTTATGCAAAAAAGTCTAAGTGCAAGAGTTGTACTTACTCTTTTTATTACCTACAACTTTGCTATTTACCTTTTTCCGGAAATAAAAATCCACCCTCTTCCACTTCCTGGCCTCAGGCTACCTGTAAATATTTTTTCCTTAATTTTTGCATCCTCTTACTATTTTTTTTGTTTAAAAAATTATCGACCTTGGCCTATGTGGTTTTTTAAGACAATAGCATCATTAAAAAACACAAGTAAAAGGGTAAATTTTTGTCTACGTTTAAATTTCATCATTATTGTGGCGATATTAGTTTAAATTGGAATTACCTTTTACTTTGCAAAACTATTTGGTATAAATACATTTACAGTATTTATTTGGTAAGTATTTGTTTATAAAAAACTGACAACTGACATTTCTCGTAGTACCCTTCAAAAATAACTACAAATAGAGATAATTCACTCACATTATTCACATGTGGCTTTGGCGGCGTGATCGAGAGGATGTCAGGTACTCGGGGAGGAACGATGGCCTTCTCGTCGACAGAAGAACTGGCTTTTAGGGGTAGTGGGAGAAGGATGGTACCGTGTGTTATGGATTTTGTGTGATTTTTATTTTGAAGAATGTAAATTTCGTCCACACAAAGAGCGACAAACAAAAGTTGGAACAACAAACACAGAATAAGGTTTATTACTAAATACTAAGATATGAGTACAGGGTGAATCGTGAGACAGTGATTATGAGTGATGTGTGTACCTACAGAGTGTCACAAATAAATTCAAAACAATTTTATGTTAATATCTTAAGACCAAATTATTAATCTTAGTAAGTGTAGACTGGTAGGTTAATATTCTACCTCCAATAAAAAATAACCGATTATTTTATTGTATATAATTCCAAACCATACGGTAAGCTTTTCGACGTTCGGTACGGAATTCACGCATACAAAGTGGATTAAGATAGGACTAATATCTACAATTGTGCATATGTGCAGGTCCGTTAATAACATTTTTTCTTTATTTAATTTTAATTAAATAAAGAAAGTTAAAGTTAATTTTTAGACCTATTCTTGAAGATACGTTTTCTAATTCTTGTAGCATTTGTTGTGCTTCACCCAGCTCTTCGGTAATAAGCATTATGTCGTCGGCAAAACGCAGATGATTGGGCATTTCTCCATGTATTTTTATTCCTCTATTTTTCCACTTTAGCATTTTAAAGGCGTATTCGAGGACCGTTATAAATAATTTAGGTGAGGAAGTGTCGCCCTGTCTCACACCCACACCTCGCTTGGTATGAATTTCTCTGGTGGTATCATGTAGTTTTACACGAATTGTTGCGTTTTGGTATAATGTTTGTACTAACTTTGTAAGTCGGTAATCTATGCTACTATTGTTCAGAGAAGTTATAATGCTGTCTAATTCCACAGTGTCCAAGACTTTGTGAAAGTCTACGAAGATAAGTACCAGTGGTCTGTTATATTCTAGCGACTTTTCAATTAAGGTTCTTACTGTTTGTAGGTGATCGTTTGTTCAGACTTTTGAGCGTTAGCTAGCTTGTTCTTGGGGCTGGTAAAAGACTAGAGACTAAAGACAAGACTAGAGAAAAAGTTAGATTTCTACCAGCCTTAGAATCTTTATAGAGTGGAGGAAAAATAGTAAGGAGAGCTTGGTGTAAAGATCAATCGGTCAATTAAAATATTACAAATTAAACAAAAAAATTTGTACCCTAACCTAAAAGTCCGGTGAGTAGAAATAAAAATAGTCATTGAGATGAACTAAACTATTTAACTATTTGCATGGAGACCAAAACAACCTAACAGCAATTCAAAGTTTTTTTTGTATTGTCAAATATCCGTTGCACGTCAAATATTTTTTCACATTATTCATATTTTGTATAATTTTAACGTGGCTAAAACTAAATCATATAAAATGTTCTTCAATAGGATCCTAATTCCAAATGTATACCGAGTATTTCAAAAATACGCGCCCAAAATGGTCCAGACTTGTAGAGAAAAGTCTAGTTTTTCTGGTTTAAGAGGAGGAATGGCACTATTTGAACGTATGCTAAAATTGGAAGACATTAATTCTAGTAGGATTTTAACACAGCGAAGGTGCATGAGTAAACGTTCACATCATAATAAGGGTAGTGGTAGAGCGGTTCCCACAAAAGATCACATTGGCATTTGGGGAAATAATCACGGAGATCATTGTTTTCCTTCGATGGAGTCCGGTATAGGTAAGTTCAGAAGTGAGACTGATATACTTACTTAATCAGTAGACCTATTTGTACCTTTCGGTGTTGGGCCGTTTATAATACAGTGCTTTATATTACAATATTTTACAATCTTCTGAGGTGTCCTAGCTCTTGACAAACTTTCTCCATTCCTTCCTATTGTATGCCATCTGTGTTGCTTCCTGCCAAGTCTTACCCTTACTCTGCAGTATCTGCGAGATGTCACTGTTCTATTCTTTAATGGGTCTTCCTCTTCTGTTCTTCCCTATTGGTTTGGCGTCCCACACTCTTTTTACTTGTCTATTATTGTCCATCCGGGTTAGATGTCCGAACCATGCCAATTTTTTCTTCTTGATTTAGTCGAGAATCGATTTGATTTTTAGTCTTTCTCTTATTTCTTCATTTCTGATTCTATCAGTTCTTTGTACTCCGATCGTTCTTCTGAGGTATTTCATTTCTGCTGCCTGAATTCTGCTTTGATGCCTTTTGTTTAGTATCCAATTTTCTGCTCCAAATGTCACTGTAGGTCTATATATTGTTTTGTATATTGTCATCTTGGTCTTTGTTGATATTTCTTTGTTATTAAGGAATCCTCTATTTAGTTCTTGGAATAGTTTTTCTGTGTTTTCCATTCTGTTGTTAAGGTCGTCCTCGATGTCTCCTTTGTTGTTGATTACTGTTCCTAAGTATTTGTATGAATTTGTCTGTATTATTTTTTGTTGGTCTATCATTATTTCTAGTGGATCTTCCGTCCCTTGTTTCCTTGATATTTTCATTATTTGAGTCTTCTCTTTGTTTACGTTTAAGTTGTATTTGCTTGCATTTAAGTTCCATTTCTCTAAGTTGTATTTCAATTTTTCTGCAATTAATACTATGTCGTCTGCAAATATACACATCCCAGCGTTTATCATTTGCATTCTCTTCCAACCGATGCAGTATTTCTTGAACGTTTTCTTACATTCTTTCACTATATCATCTATTACATTTATGAATAGCACTGGGCTGAGACTTCCTTCTTGTCTAACTCCTTGAGTTGTTTCAAATGGTTCTGACTGCATATTTAACATTCTTACTGTGTTTGTTGTTTTCATGTATATACTCTTTGTTGCTTCTATCAGTTCTTCACTTACTTGCTTCTTCTTTAGGCTTTCCCATATATCTTTTCTTTTGACTGAGTCGAATGCTGTTTCCATGTCTATAAAGCTCAGATATATTTTTCTATTTTTCTTTAAGGCTTTTTCTATTACTTGTTGCATGGTGAATACATGGTCTTGTGTGTTGTGACCTTTCCTGAATCCACTTTGTACGTCCTCTAATTTATGTTACTATTTCTTTTCTGATTTTCCTTTCTATTATGGTTTCGTATACTTTTGCTGCTACACATAGTAGTGATATACGTCTATAGTTCTTACAGTCTCTTGTGTTTCCTTTCTTGTATATAGGTATAATTACTGCATTTGTCCATTCTCTAAGTATTACTTTTCTCTTTCATATTAGGTTATATATGTATAACAATTTTTCTTTGGCTTTTACTATTTTTATATAATACTGCTTTTAATATTTCATCATTTCTGACGCTACTTCATTGCTTCCTGGTGCTTTTCCAATCTTTATCTTTATTATTGCTTCTTCCAGTTCTTCTTTTTCTATAGTTTCTGGATTTTCCATGTTTCTCATGGATACTCTCTGGATGTGGCTTTCCTTTTCCATTGTATTCGCTTAATTTCCATTCAGTATCAGCTGGAAGTGTTGCCTCCATCTTTCCATTATTGTGTTATCGTCTTTTATTATTGTTCCTTTCTTGTTCATTATTAGTTTAGTTTCGTTTCTTTGTTGCTTCTTAGGGTTTTCAGTGTTCTATAAAATAATTTTACGTTTTCTGTGCTGTTTTCTTCCATTTTTTCTCCGAATTTTTCCCAACTTTTCTTTTTCTCTTTCTTTAACTTTTGTTCTTTGTCTCTTATAATTTTCATATTTTGGTTGAGTTTTGTCCTTTATGTATTCTTTCCATAACTTCTTCTTTTCTTTTATTTCTCTTTTCAGTTCATCGTTACACCAAGATGTACGTCTCCCGCTGTTGTTTTTCTTGTAGTTCCACATATTGATTTAGCTGTTTTTATCATCGCATTTTTAAATTTTCCCCATTCTTCCATTGTTTCTGTTATTTGATGTTCATTGTCCATCACTTTCTCTAGCCCTTCTGAGTATCTTATCTTTGTTGTTTCTTCCCTTAGTTTATAAATTTTTATTATTTCTTTGTGTTTTTTGTTTATGTTCTCATTTCTTTTTATTTCTTTTCTTTTCCACTTGAATGTGGTTTGTAGTAGATAGTGGTCACTACCAATTTCATAACTCCTTTTCACCCTTACGTCTCTTATCCAGTTCTTCTCTGTTTTTTGCACTATAGTTATAGTCTATAATTGATTGTTCATTTCTTGATTTGACTTCTCTTGTGATCTTGTGTATCTTTTTATGTTGGAAGTGTGTGTTCATAATCACCAGGTTATTGTCTAGACAGAATTCGCGTAGTAATTTTCCATTTTTGTTTATTTTTGCCTCCCCATAAGGTCCGATGACATTGTTCCATTTTTCTGCTTCTTTTCCCACTCTACTTTCATGTCTCCTGTGATCACAATTTTCTCTGTATTGAGGAGGATTTTGTTGATATTGTCTTGGTATTCATTAAAATTCGTTGGCTCGTTTCATATCAGGTTGGCTTTCTTCCTATCGTTGAACCATTTTAGATCTTTCTGTTAAATAAGTTTAATTTTGGTTTGGGTCTTACCATTCTACGATCGCTGCCTGTGGTTAAGCTATTAAGGACTATGACATCGTTGAATATATTTTTTTATCACTAATTATGTGGTTCATCTCGTTTCTGATCTTGCCATTTTGGATTTTCCACGTCCATCTTCTGTGGTCTTTTTTAGAGAAAAAAATTATTCGTCTGGTATAGATTTTGTTGTAATAGAAATTCAAGTAGTGTTTGTCCACGCTTGTTTTTGCCTTTAGATCCAAATTTACCTAGTCCTGTTTCATGTTCATCCTGATTTAGACCGATCTTTGAGTTAAAGTCGCCGCATATAATCGTGTAGTGTGTTGGTGTTTCTTTTAGTACCGTTGAGGCATTGAAAGATAATAAAAATACAATCTAATAATTCTCCCTTAGGAAGATTAATGATGGACGAAGCGAATTGTCTAATGACGACCAAGAAAACACAAGAGAACTAGAGGCTGACTTCAAACTAAATGGACTGAAGGCACCAAAAGAATAGCTGGTAATGATTAAAAAAAAACAGAAACGAATGGGCACGCTTAAGGGAGGCTTACAGATGGAATAGCTTAATAATAAACTCGCGGCAAAGAAGACTGAAGCCATCTTTCTAAAGAGTACACGGACAAGGCAAGAAATGGAACTTTAATGTGCAGCAACACAGCTAAGATCAAAGAAATGCGTCAAATATCTGGTAGTGATGCTACACCAATATGGCGGATGGTGGGAGCGTATATGGGTGGTAGCCCCGAAGGCAGAAAAAAGTACGGTTATGCTGGTAGGGTGATGCTCAACATTGGAGGACCCAAATCAGAAAAAAGGAGGGCCCTACATAGTCTAGAGTGGGGTGGTAGAAATACCGACCTACAAGAGCTCATGCTACAAAACAAGTCTGTTACGAGTAGCATGTGCCTACAGGACTGTATCTACGGCGGCTTTGTGGACTATCATGGGATACAAATAAATGGTATCACCCTTTAGAGTTCTGAAAGCTTCATATACCTAGGCAGAGAGCTAAATAGTCAACTAGACCACTCAAAAGAAAAAGGAAGACGCAGTGAAATAGCAAAATCTGGTTTCATGAATATACGTGAAATGATCTCTAACCCAAGCTATCAGTCTCAATAAGATTGAAAACACTAAAGTGTTATGTGTGGTCTCTATTACTATATGGCTGTGAGACCTGGACATTAAAAAAGTTTAACGTCAACAAGCTAAATTCATTTGAAATGTGTATGTACCGCCGAATGTTAAGAATAGGCTAGACCAGCAGAACTATGAATGAAGAAGAACTGAGAGTAATGAACACACGTTCTCATCTGGTCAATACTATCAAAATTAGACAGACGTCATATCTAGGATACATAATGCGCCATAGGGAATTTTAGCATACTCCAGGTAATATTAGAAGGCAAGACTAAAGGTAAAAGGGTAAAAATCTTGGCTACGAAACATCAGAGATTCGACCAACAGAAGAGGAAATGAATTAATTCATCAAGCCCAGAACAGAGAGAAATTGGCCATATTGATCGCCAACCTCAACAGAGAAGGCACTTAGGAGGAGGAGGGACTAAGACGCTGATTCTGAGACTGAGGGACTGGGTGGTCACATATGACTGGATTACTTCCCGTGACTGTGAGAGATGATCATGAAGATAACGAGAAGTAAGGAGAGACAGAATAGTGTACACAATTACATTGAAACAGTCATTAAGAAGAAAGAAGAAGAAGAGAAACATAAGCTGGACCAACGAATAAGATAAGATCCGAAAGTGTCAGCCTTACAGCGGCCATGCCATTTTCGGAGTACGGTATGTGTGACAGTAAACTGCTCATAAGGAGGAGAGAGTGGTTTTAGTTGGTACGAAAATGGGTTCGGATGTACTTCTCTAACCTTAATCCAACTCACGGCTATCCCTAGAGATGGGTTAACCTGGTACGGTTTTTAGAAATTTCCACTCTCAGAAAAGAAAAAAAAAAAAGGATGGAATAGCTGATGATAATGGCAACGATAATGTTAAATTCATATCTTTACTCTTTACTTTTAAGTCTCAATGTTTTTTTTCGTGCAACAGCTTTCAAAAAAACCTTTTCAGAGTTATTTTTGCATATTTTAAGTAAATTTTAATATTTCTGTCTAACAAGCTTTGAATAACAGTTATGTTAATTTTTTTTATAGATAGGCTAAAAAACCCTGGCCTAAACAAAGAACTGGCCTTCACTCTTATCGAACGACAGTTACTCGGCATCAACGGATTGCTACCACCAATGGTAAAGACTCAAGAAGAACAGATCCTACAAGTAAGAACAAATCTTAACCGTTTTAAAGACCCCTTAAACAAATATCTGTGGCTGATGGACCTACTAACTCGAAACGAAAAGCTTTTCTTCGCCACGGTGCGTAAATATGTCGTGGACTATTTACCGATACTGTATACTCCTACGGTGGGAGCCGCTTGTCAGAACTGGGGTTTTGTGTATAGAAGACCTAGGGGTGTTTACATTACTATACACGATAGGGGGCACGTTTATGAGATATTAAAGAATTGGCCGGAATACGATGTCAGAGCCATTGTATTTACTGACGGTGAAAGGATCTTGGGTCTTGGGGATCAAGGAGCTGCTGGGATGGGAATTCCAATTGGAAAGCTCTGTTTGTATTCTGCATTAGGTAAGTTTGTCTAATTTATCTAAAGATTATTTGCCAAGCCTTTCTGCTTTATATTTAAATTTTCCCAGAAGGTTCTTTTAAATGATGTGCTGTTGTTACATTAAATTATTGTAATTAAAAAAAGTTAATTTATCGTTTCAGCTGGAATCAAACCCCACCAATGCTTGCCAGTGACGATTGACGCAGGAACCAACAATGAAAAACATCTAAAAGATCCTCTATATATCGGCTTGAGAGAAAAACGACATCGAGGTAAAGAATACGATGATTTGATCGACGAATTCATGGCAGCTGCTGTCCAGAGATGGGGCCAAAACGTCTTACTGCAATTCGAGGATTTTGGAAACATGAACGCTTTCAGATTCTGGGAAAAATACAGAAACAAATATTGTACTTTTAACGATGATATTCAGGGAACGGCAAGCGTGGTCGTTGGAGGATTAATAGCTGCCATGAGATTGACTAAAAATAAGTTTTCAGATCACACGTTGGTGTTCCAAGGAGCTGGAGAAGCAAATATAGGAATCGCTGAACTGTGTGTCTACTTAATGGTGGGTTTTATATTTACATATGCTTTTATAATACCATACCAAAAATTTTCTTTTTTCAATTCCGAACATTGACATGCGTCAATGTTTTTCGTGTTTTCCATCTCTCGCAAGATGACCAAACTATCTAAGTCTCTTTGTCCTGACGATCTGGCTAATTTCTGGTTTCCCGTATCTCCGATGCCTTCATTTATTTGTCTTCTTCAAACGTCTTGAATTACTCACGTTATTCGGTTTCCAGATGTTCAGCATACTTTCTTGATTTTTGTTTATACTCCATGTTTCGTTTCCGTATAGGACTGTGAGTTGGTTCACTGTTTGGTATAGTCTTGATTTTGCTTATCTGGAGATGTTTTTTGTACTCAGTGGTTGGTGTAGAGCTCCGACTGCGTTCCTTCCTCTCGAAATCCGCTTCTCAATTTCTTGGCTTTCTTCCCCTTTACTTGTTAGGGTTATTCCTAGATACTCAAACTTCTTCACCTTTTTGAAGAAACACTGTTACTCTTATTGTTTGTAGTAGTTTTTAGTTGTGTGTCTTTATATGCGGTTTGGTCCATTTCTATATACTATTTTTTGCTCATTATTAATCAGTCCATAATGTTTAGCCTTCGCTTCAAAGAGTTTGAAAATCCTCAGCAGTTCCCCTTTAGTCCTTGCCATTAATACTAAATCATCCGCAAAGGCCAGGACTTGACTTCTGTTGCTATAAATTATACCTTTCGTTCGTATTCCACTCTCCCTTATTATTGTTTCCAGAAAGAAATTAAAGAGTATTGTGAAAAGCGGATCTCCCTGATTTACTCCCCTCATTACTTCAAATTTTCCTATTAGGTTTCCTTCTATCCTTACTCTATTGTCGGTCTTAATTAAGGTCAGTTTTAATAGTCTGATTGTATTTTCTGGAATTCCAAGTACTCTTAGAGCATTGTACAGACGCCTTCTTATCGCAGAATCGTAAGCATGTATGAAATCTATAAAAGGAGGTTTAGCTTTAACTGTTACTCGTAAGTACTGCTCTAAATCATTGTCAACATAAATATTTAATTTATGGTGGATCTACACTTTTTGCTATTCACCAACCTACTCATTTAAGTGCCTTTCCAGTCAACTTCTTAGAACTCTGGTGGGTACCTTATATGTTACATCCAGAATAGGGATAACCCTGTAGTTTTCGCACACTCCCCTTCTAATGAATGGGACATACTATTGCCTCTCTCCATACTTTCGGCATTTCCTCTCGCTCCCAGGGTTTATATATATCCCCCAGCTAGATTATACCATTACTGCCTGGACTTTTATTGTTTTTCATGCTATATACGATTTCTCTTATTTCTTCCACGGTGAAAATCTCCATTGTTTCCGCCATGATATTGACTTTCCGGACAATTTCCACTTTCCATCCGGTTCTTCATTAAGCAGCTCTCTGAAATGCCTTTGACATCTATCTAGCTTCCCCTGCTTATCTCATATTAGATGCCCTTCTTTACTCTTGTAGTAATTCTGTTTTCTTGCGCCTTGGTCACTGCTCTTGTATGTCTTCTCTCTGCTTCATATTCATTTCTATTATCATCACTTGGTCTGCCATATAATTTAGTCTTGCTTTTTGCAATCAACATCAAACCATTCTTCATCTCTCCAACTAACTTCATACCTTCTTTGATTATTCCCCACTCCATTTCGATTTTCCTACTCATTGTTAGTCAACTTCATCAATAAAAATAATATCCCATGTTTTGAACACTTTTTGTAAAAACCCTATGTAGCAGTATGCTGTCATCTTTTCGCTAAGGATTAGGAGTGTTAGAAGGTTTGACTGCTCTACTTGTTAGTTAAATTCAAATTTTTTGTTTTGGTCTTAGGTTTAAGATCTATTTAGCCAGATAATTGAATGAAAACGTAAAAACAATCTTCTACAGTTCCTTTAAATTTATCATAATTTTCTAACCGTTCGTTCATTCGCACATTCACTCGATTTCCTAACCTTCCCATTGAAATCACTATTGGGTGATTATACAAAAAGGATTGAACAGGAACACACGCTTCACGTTAAGGTGCCTTCATAGCGACTTTTTTTAACACAAACAATACAGGCAACGGCTAATAGTAAATGACATAAAAGAAAAGACAATGGGAAATACAACAACTAACAGTTTAGATTTTCCGTTTGGTACGTTTAAAAAATTCCCATGAAATCGATCTAGTAGTTGAATTTTGACTACCTATATAAAGAATAGAAGCAACGTTCTGCGGCAGTATGATTTTTTGTTGGGAGATGGCTTGAAATAAAAATTTTATGGCTTCTTGATTATACCGACATTGAAACACCCAGTGGTTAAGGCCGTCATAACTGCCATTACATTCACATATATCAGTTTCGGAAAGTTTTATTTTATATAGGCAAGCGTTTACTGTTAGTAAAGGAATGCCACTCAATTTCCCAATTAAGTCTAACATGTTTCTTCCGAGCTGAAACTATATCCCATTTGGGCAACTCGTTGTACTCTATACCCATTAAAGTAGCGTCTTTAGCCAAATGGTCTACTTTTTCATTGCCTGGAATATTAGAGTGACCTTTAACCCACACAAAGTTAACAATTCTTTTTAGAGAAGTTAAGATCTTTAGCTTTTCAAGCGCATCTACAATTAGTCTGCTGGTATATATGTGTTTAGATAAGTGTGTTAATGCAGCAGAACGGACTGTGAATCAGATACAATTATATATTGTTCGAAATATAATGTGCTATTAATTATCCAATCCAACGCTTTGACAAGCTACCAATTCAGCTGTGAATATAGAGCAATCTGATTTTAATTTGTACTGAAAATTATCTTGAATATTGCCTATGTAAATGACACAGCCAACACCAGTAAGTGATTTTGTGCCATCAGTATAAATTTTACAAGAATGGTTACAGTCTTCTAGCTTGTTCTGTACTACTAAATCTTCGTGAACAATTGAAATAGATGAAGGAATTACTACAGCAAGTTTATATTCATATAGTATGTCATAATTGGAGCCAAAGAATGGAATCACTTCTCCATTGAATGAATATTGTGATAAATTGGGAAAAGCAACAGCTAGAGTTGGAGAGTTTTTATTTTGTTATAAGCTGTTTTGTTTATTATACTGGCATTTAAGATTAAATTTTTCTGGCAAAAATAGACATCTAAGGTGGCTCGTGACGTTCTGCCGAAAAGTCTGGTGTGGGAGTAGATTTGAGAGCTCTTAGGACTAACCTTAAAGCTTTGTACTGAATTCGATCCAATTTAATTAAACGAGATTTTGACACTGATCCATAGAAAAAGCTTCCATAGTCCAAAATTGATCTGGTAAATGCTCTGTAAAATAATAAGTTTATTTTCGGGTCTGCTCCCCAATCGTATCGATTAACGGCCTTAAGGATATTAATGCTTTTTTCACATTTGGTAATGCAATTATTAATATGCTCATTTCAGGTTAATTTTGAATCCAAGGTAACACCTAGGAATGTAAAACTGTTATATAGGAATTTCCAGCTGGGACAATTTTAACGTACTAACTTTTGGTAACCTGTGTCTAGAAAAAATACTACACCTGACTTCTTAGCTGAGATGTCAAGCCCATGACTATTAAAATACTTTTTGCAATAAGAAATATTTACTTTAAGGGCATTAACACATTGTTGAAAAGTTTTTTTCTCAACATAGAAACACAAGTCATCAGCATATTGTAAAATGTTACACTGCAATCCCCATAGTATGTAAGTTTAATGAATACAAGTTAAATAATAAGAGACTAAGAAGTGAGCCCTGAGGTAACCCTTTGTTAACTATCCCTACTAATCAGTGAATGATCTAAACGAATATAAACTTGTCTATTTGTAAATAAATTGATCAAACAGAAACAAGTTGATCAAGCAAAGGTCGAGAATAATGTTATCATCTGCACCAGAAATGTCCACAAATAAAGCAGCTGTGTATTGGATTTTATAATAAGTTAACTTTATATCGGTTGCTAAGATATCAGTTCCCTCTACGAAACTAGTTGAATTCAAGTTTATTTCTGTTGATCTGTAGTTGTTTAGTAAAATAAAATGAGCTTTTTTCCATAAGAATATTCTTGTTGCTTTGTCTTATGTATTCGGTATAGTTCTATCTGTTACACATTTACTGAATATCATTTTTAATTTGGACATCATTTCTATGATAATTACGTTTTCGCCAGGCGCTTTAACTCGATTAGTTTCTCTCAGTGTAAGAGTGATCTTTAGTGACTTCCGGTTAATTTATAAACCTATGTCAACATATCCATACCATATTCTTACAATATTATAAAAATACTTCTCTAGCTTTCAAAGGCCTAAAAACTTTGAACAGTATTTGTTGGAAACAGAACTTAAATTTCCACTTTTTTAGGTCAAATCTGGTATGTCAGAAGAAGAGGCACTGAAGAAAATTTGGATGGTGGATTCTCAAGGCTTAATAGTAAAATGTAGGGACAAAATAGTAGGACACAAGAAGAAGTTTGCTAAAGATCACGATCCCATTAAGGTGAGCAAATCAATACTAATATATACTTTAAAAATAAGGATTTATTATTTTTAATTCTCTTTGGAAAATGATTTTCAAAGTAATTAGCCAATATTTACCACTACTCCCTTCCTTTCATTTTATTCATAATGCTCTATCTCTAGTGTACTGATCTGTTTCTCTTTTCCAAATTGCCGTCCAGTACTGATTTCTTCTTATTTTAGGATTTGTCCGAAGTAGTAAAGAAAATAAAACCTTCGATTTTAATCGGGGCAGCAGCTGTTCCTGGCGCCTTCACACCTGATATATTGAAGGAAATGGCCAAAAACAACAAACGACCCATTATTTTCGCCTTAAGTAATCCGACTCCAAAAGCAGAGTGTACTCCAGAACAGGCTATCAAAGAAACAAAGGTGAGTGGTATCAATAACAATTAGTTATACTAATACAATTGTTTTATTGACCATAAAATACAATGACAATCGCTGTGACATGTTCTTCTTCTTCAAGTGCCCTGTCCGTTGCGAACGTTGGCTATTAACATGGCAATTTTGATCTTGTTTGCGGCGCTTCTGAATAGTTCGACCGATGTGAGCCCGAACCACTTCCGCAGATTTTGGAGCCACGAGTGTCTTCTCCTGCCTGGCCCTCGCTTACTGTCTATTTTTCCCTGGACAATCAATTGTAGCAGACGGTACTTATCGTGTCTCAATATGTGGCCTAGATATTCAAGCTTTCTTTGTTTAATTGTATTCACGATTTCTTTCTCCTTTCCGATTCTTTGGAGTACCTCTATGTTGGTGACATGTTCGGTCCAGGATATACGAAGAATGCGTCGGTACACCCACATTTCGAATGCTTCTAGTTTTCTCGTTAGCGTCTCCGTCAGCGTCCAGGCCTCCACGCCATACAGCAAGATCGGAAAAATGTAGCATTTAACTATACGTAGTTTTAGGGGAAGAGACAAATCCTTGCTTATGAGAAGCTTTTTCATATTGCTAAATGCTGCTCTAGCTCGTTCTATTCTCGCCTTAATTTCTATGGTCTGTTCCCATTTTGCATTTACGTTGGTGCCAAGGTACACATAAGATTCTACATGGTCAATTAATATGTTACTTATCCGTAATTGTCGAGCAGGTTGTTGCTTTTTGCTTATCAGCATCCACTTTGTCTTCTTGAAGTTGAGGCTCAGGCCGTATTCCTCACTAACTGAATAAAGTCTTTCCATTACTTGTTGTAATTCGTCTATGGTACTGGCAAGGATCACCGTGTCGTCGGCGTATCTTATATTGTTCGTTAACTCGCCGTTTATTTTAATGCCCTCATTTGCATTTTCCATACATTTGTTAAATATTTCCTCGGAATACATATTGAATAGGAGTGGGGATAATATACGGGGATAATATATGACGGACACCCCTTTTGATCTGCACGCTTTCAGTGAGTTCGTTGCCAATTTTTTGCTCTTGCTGTTTGACCCCAGTATAGGTTTGCCACAATTCGAATGTCCTTGTCGTCAATACCTGTCTTTCGCAGAATACCTATCAATTGTTCATGATTGACATTGTCAAATGCTTTTCTAAAATCTACAAAGCACAGATACACGTCTTTATCAACGTCTCTACACCGTTGTATAAGCACCTGGAGAGCGAAAATTGCTTCTCTAGTTCCAAGTGCTTTCCGAAAACCAAACTGCGATCTATCAATATTTGACTCACATTTATCATATATTCTTCTGTGAATGATCTTAGTGAACGCTTTAGTGACATGATTGATCAAGCTTATGAGCCGGTAGTCATCACAAATCTGGGCATTTGGTTTCTTCGGGATTGTAATAAATGTTGACTGTAGCCAGTTCTCCGGGATTTTACCGCTATTATATATGTTGTTAAAAAGTACAACTAGATTGTCAAGGAACTGTTTGTCTGATTTACATAGGATCTTTAATATTTCGCAGGGTACATTGTCCGGACCTGCTGACTTATTGTTTTTTAGTGCTGCAATGGCATCTTCTATCTCCGATTTAAGAATTGAAGGTCCTGTTTCTCCTTCTCCATATAGGTGATCATCAGTCCTGTTAGATGCAAATAATTTTTCTATGTATGATTTCCATGTTTTTAAGATCGTTGATGGCTCCGAGATAAGATGTTACACGTTTCAATCTCTATCTTCATTTCACAGTAGGTACGAATTGTCGTAATTGTCTTTTTTTGTGTGTGTGTTTTGGCTTGGACAATTGTCATTCAGCCAGTCTCAATCAAGATAAGTTTATTAGTAGCGTATGTGTGTTTGTGTGTGTAGAGTAATTGTCTTGATACTTAGCAAAGTCGACGTCATTGTCTTTGCTAAGAGACGCTAATTGTATCCGAACGTCTGCGGTCCCTCTGGTGAGTACCGATCACACAAAGGTAGAAATTATTTTCATTTATTATTTTTTTTTAATAAACGAAAATTTCCACCCAGGTGAGAGTCGTAATTGTCACATTGACATTAAAAATTTCAAACGAAGTTCTAAAAGAATAAATAAATAATTAATAAAATGCCTATTACGTTGTATATCGTCCAAGAAAAAGTGTAACTTGTAACATAGTACTTTCAGGGTCATTCGATACGCGACGTAATTAATTTATTTCTTGTTGTCTTCGAAAATAGACCCCCACCAAGTGTTAAACAGTTTCAGACTCTGGAATATGTAAACAGTTGTAAAAAGGGTCATGAAGGTAATGGACCACGTGCTAGATCTGTCGATGAGGAGCGTCAAGATAGGGATATTGATATTTGTGCTTTTGTGGAAGCTAGAGAACCCTGCAATAGTGTACAAATTACTAGAGAAGTTAACGTGAATGCTTGAACTGTCCAGCGAGTTCTCAAAAGGAATGGGTATTATTGTTTTAAGATACAACCAACACAGGAACTGTTTTCGGAAGATAACTTTAGGCGGATGGAGTTTTTTGAATTTATGTTAGATAAACAGAATAAACAAAATTTAGACTTTTTAAAAAATATTTTATTTTCTGACGAATCTTCATTTTCATTACATAAAAAACACAATCCATCCATTATTCTCGGAAAAATAAGCACCTCATTGTTGTGCGAACGCAGCATCTGCAAAAGTTAAATGTTTGGACTGGGGTGATAGGCGACCATATTCTTGGTCCATTTTTTATCGATGGAAACCTAAACGGGCCCAAATATTTACAACTTTTACAGAGTTAGATCATTCCGACAGTTCGACGCCTTCCCGTTAATTTTCAGGAGGTTTATTTCCAACAGGATGGGTGTTCGACTCACAACTCTAGAGCAACTATTGACTTCCTTAATCAAACGTTTCCTAATCGACTGATAAGTACACGTGGTATAATTAAATAGCCCGCTAGATCCTGTGAAAAAAACATTTATAGGCATCAGTTTGAAATTGTCACAAACCTAATCGAATTAACAGCAAAAATACTTTATTTCTCTGCAAGCATTACACCAGCCCTACTCCAAAATATGAGGACAAATCTGTATGACAGATTTGGTTACTGTTTAGCACAAGGAGGTGGAATATTTGAGCCCTTAATTTATTAATCTGCTTTCCTAATTTTTATTATTTTTTGTTAGGTACATTTTACGAAGTTTGTAGGTTTTTAATTAGGTAGTATTTTTATGTTTAAGTTTGGAAGAATTTACTTTTTTTTTTTTTATTTAAAAGTAGAAACGATTCTTATCCTGATTTTTTTCTTCTTTCTTGTCTTATTTTTATAAGCTTTGTCCATAAAATTTGTACAATTTTCAGTGACAATAAGGTATATTACTTATTTATTTACTTATTTATTTGTATTGCTATTAAGGCTAAAAAATAACCAAAAAATTAGTTTTAGAGCATTATAATAAATACACTCTAAAGATGGGATTGCAATAAATCTTAATTCCTATGGTCAACAAAACAATGTCGTTATCTTTGTTTGTCGTTATAGTTGTTAGTACTCTATATAAGAGTATTCCTTAGTTTACACTTCGTTTTTTAGGGTAGCGTTATTTACGCCAGCGGTAGTCCATTCCCTCCAGTAGAATACGAAGGAAAAAAATACCACACAGGCCAAGCAAACAACTCGTACGTGTTTCCCGGCATAGCACTATCCGCTGTAACAGGAGGTATTCTACATTTCACCGACGAACACTTCTACGTCACGGCTCAAACGTTGGCCGATTTAGTAACAGAGGAAGACTTAAAGGTAGGAAGAATATATCCTCCACTGGAATCGATTCTGGAAGTGTCTGTGAAAATAGCTACCAAGTTGGTGGAGTATTCGTACGAGCAGTGCATAGCTAGCGTTTACCCAGAACCCCGTGACAAAGAAGCCTTTATTCGAGCTCAGATGTACTGTACCGATTACGACCCAGTTTATCCTTGTCCTTACGATTATCCTAAGCCACCGAAAAATAAAAATAAATGTTGATATTTTGTAACGATATGTGATAAATTGCATTGAAAATGTAGATGTTTGTTACTGTTTGTAGATAATGTTCTGGTATTAAATATTTTGTGCAACGGAACGTAAACCATATTCATTTATTCTCCATGACTGGAAGTCTATATATTCGTGATTTTAGAACCCTTTTATAGAGCTCTTCGATAAACGACGGTAAATTAAACTTATTTGTTCCACTCTGTATTAAATGTGAATGACACAATGTGAATGTACACATTTTACATTTCGTGAACGATAAAATGACAGTGAACACCTATAGTGAACCAATTCAGATTGGTTGTGCTTCAAAAAGCTTGTGACAAATGTTTTTCAACTCATTCATTCAATAGATATTGTGATGCGTATGTGAATAGTGTGAGATTTGAAAATGAGATGCAAAAAATCGTAAAATGCACATATAGAGTAAAGGTAGAGCAAAATAAATTTCGTTATACGTCATAAGTCACTCTGTCACATTTCATTCATAAAAATATGAACATTTTAGAGCATAAAAGTTAGGATATTATAATGTTGGGGTATTATTTGTGACATAACTGAGAGTGTGACGTATAACAATAGTTTTTTTGCTATTATTATACATAAAACACAAATATAAACTTACTACAAGCAACAAACATGAGGTGTGTTATGGTGTGTCGTGTGGTGTTTGGGTGTAGTGATATCTTTCTGCAAAAAGGAAATGAAACTATCCTATGGATATCTAAAATGGACCTTTATTTATTGTCGTAATACAAACTCAAAAATATATCTTTTTCTAATTATTTCAAAATTTCAAACACTAAAATCTACTGGGCGGTGTTCAAGTATTGTTTACAAAAAAATTAAAAAAGTTTCGAATGATTTAACTCTTATATATTGTACAAAATTGGACTAAAATGTGCCAACAATATTAATAATAATTAATTACAGAGTATTTATATAATAACATCCTAGGTATTCTTAAATAGAGAAAATGTCAAATGTAAAATGGTGGGAGTGTCTGTATATTACGCTATTATGGTTAAACTACCCAGACAATAATATATCAGGTTCGTTTAATATTTAGATCAATGGTAACAGTTAAAGGATTGATTTTGGATAAGATGATTTTAAAAACACTCTGTACAGCTAGTGTCAAATGCAGCAGCGAGCAGTTCCACGGATTATTTATCACGTCAATAGTAACAGCTTGCACTGACGTTGCAATATTAAATAATTTGGTAAGAATAAATAAAATTTTCTTCTACAAAGATTGTTTTATCATTAAAACAGTAATTACAATTGAGTCCATGGTTCTTTTGCTATTATACTCTCAGTTATAGCGGAAACAGTATGCGCGGAAATGGTCTGAGCGGGATGGACTGGGGCAGGGGGTCTATGAAGCAGCGGTAGCCATGTTGCCATCACTCGTTTAGCGTCATCTCACGTGTTTAAGCTGTTGGACCGTTTTACAACTTCTCGATTTTAACAACCGGATGGTTGCAATGGTTTTTGCTTTTTCGAAATCCATTTTGTGGCCTGTCTGAATTTGATGTTGGTCTATGGTTGAAGTAGTATCGGAATGTTTTACATATATAGAATGTACTTAAATAAGGTTATGGATTCGACGGTTTGTCTGTTCTATGTATGTACGTGGGCAACTGGAACAAAGTATTTCGTAGACACCATGGTCTTTATTGGGGATTTGGTCTTTTACCATGGTATCTGATGAGATTGGACAACGTGGAGTGCGTAGTGAACATGGTTTTAATGTTTAGAGGATTAAGAGTTCCACTGAACTTGTCACTTACACCTTTGATAAAAGGTAGAAAGATTTTGGGTTGATCAGGCGGCAAGGTTTCTTTTTAGGATGTAATGGGGATTTAATATTTTGAATGCTTCTATTGATTTGGGTTTTGTAGTAGCGGTTTTGTAAGAGTGTTTGCCTTACTGAATTGATTTCGGATGATCTTTGATTGTTCTCGCTAAGTCTTATGGAACGAGAAACAAGAGTGTTGATAATTGAATTGAGTTGAGCGAGGTGATCATGTGATTGGACATTGAGATAACGGTTTGTATGCGTGGGTTTTCGGTACGCCGAATAGGAAAAACTGTGAGGTAAATAATTTTGAATAAGAATATTAAGAAATGGTGAAGACGCTTCAGACTCAATTTCCATCGTGAATTAAAAACTTAGATGTATTTAATTCAGGTGTGAGTGGAAGATCTAATGTGTCTCATGGGACCAAATGACAAAGCTGTCATCAACGTACCACAACCAGCAGGTGAGTTTGAGATTTAATGAGAGATTTAATGAGATTACGAAAGAGAGGGGAGATCCCATTGGGGCAACTTTAATTTGACGATAGAAATGATTTTGGAATAAAAAGTATGTATTAGACATGTAGTGTTTTATAAGAGATAATGTATCTTGGGGGATATGATATCCAAGATGGAAATGGTTTCATCGATATGAATGTTGGTGAATAAAGAAACAATGTCAAAACTAAGTATTATATCTGAGGGTGAAATATAAATTTTTTTTTCAGAAGATCAATGAAATAAGTAGACTTATGACAAAGAACGAGGCGCTTTTGGATAATGAGTGTAAGACGAGATGTTTTGCCAATTTCTGAGTGGTGCAGTTGTATGTACTGACGATGGGTCTTTGGTGGGCTTCTGGATTTTTGGAAGGCCGTATATTCTTGAAATTCGGGATGATTTTTTTCTGGGTTAAAGCAATTTTTTTATGTTTGGAGATAGGGTAGACTTATTTAAGATATATTTGGTCGCCGCTTTTTCTTTATAGGTGTGACCGTTTGGGACGCGTTTGTATTGTGTGGAATTGAGAATTTCGAACATTTTATCAAAATAATTTGACGGTGACATTACCTTTGTCGACCGGAAGAATGACAATGCCAGAGTTGTTATAAAAGTTCTTTGAGGGCACGTCTTTCTGAAAAACTGATGGTGGGTGTCTGGAAGTACGGAGAAATCTGGCGACATCTTTTCTGACAGTTTCAGCTTAGTCGGAAGGAAGATGAAATAGCTTCTTCAGTTTGACAAACAATTTTCTCAGTTGAAATGGAAAGAGGAGTGACAAAAAAATAAGCCTTTTGACAGAGTTTTGGTAGCTAAATCGAATATGTGAGTATCTGAAAAGTTTCGAACAATAGTAGAAGGTTGTTGATTTAAAATTAAACCTAGAGCTGAGATTAATACTATTACAAGAATTAATATTAAACTTAACAGTATTGTTAATTAAACCGAATAGATTATCATTGCGATGAGCTTTCGACATCCTCTTTGATGTCTTCTTCAGGGCTTTCGAGGTCTCAGTCACCCAAATCCCCAGACACTACTACAATAATAACTATACAAAGCACTACTGACATTGGGAATCTAGCACTAGGTTTATTTGTACTAACCACGGAAATCTTTCGGAACATATATATACATCTTATTTGTGGAGATATTTCCTTGTAACTTTCATCATATCATCCAGACCTATACCATATAGAAATAGTTCTAAAGCAAATCAAAACGCCCCAAGAATGTCCCCAGAAATTCTTGCCGCTGCATTTGAAACTTACATAGCTTACTAGGAAAACAGCTGCAATTTGTAGATAAAATTAATAAAACAACAATTTTTATGATAGAGCTGATAATCCTTAACGTAATGGCATAAACCAGCGCGCAGCGATTAAAAACTTCAAATTGATTTAAAATTTTTATTAAACGAACAATACTTAACAGTTTAGAAGTTTTGATCGGATTTTTGGAATGGTTTTTAGGCAAATTAGGAACCAGTTTCAGCTTAGTAGACAAATCAATCGATTTTGTCGTGTGGTAGACTGTTAAGAATTATTATAAATCTTCATAAATTGTTGAATAATTCGACTAGATACACCAAAGAATAAAATCGTATTCCCTGTAAATTAGGCAGATAAAGTTATAGTTGTTTCAATTTTTTTAAAAGTAATGTTTTAATATAGGTATATGTTTAAAACATTTATCCATGATAAATATTAGTGGGGCCACCACGGATTATGATCAAATTCTGAATCAAAATTATAGCAGAAAATTGAATAATTACAAGTTAAGTAATAAACAAAAGACTAAATACAACTCGCAAATTTTGTGCAATATACAAACATTAAAATTCTTATTTTAATTTAAAATCGGACCAAAATTTCCTAAGTGTCTACTTTTTTACAAATTATTTCAATAAATTTGGCAGTTATTGTGCGGAAATTTGTTGTTTTTAAAGAAATTAAAAATTAATATCAACTATTAAACATTAGTTTAAATATGCGATGAAGTATTTTCGTAGAAAACGTATTTCAGATATTTTATTAAATATATTCTCGCGCTTATATTTATGTATATAAAATAAAACACTTTTTTTTGTAATATTATTGTAATTATTTTATAGTTTATTTATTTCTAATACCTAACGGGGGTTGAAGGTCTAAGGCAGAAAAATTTAAATTTTCCATTACAATTACTATTTACATTTTGTTGTAATTATATAAAACATATTTAATAGAATTCTTGTAGTCTTTCCATACACTTTTTAATGATTTCCTTCAGTTGTTTTCTGTACAATGCTGTTTCTTTCCAGTTCTTAATAGTATTTTTTTATAAGTCTTCATATAGGATATTTTTCTTAATCTACCTTTCCTTCTTTTGCAATGACGGATACCCACTGTATCGTCGACCATCAGTTAAGGATGGCGGCAAATCTATCGTTTTGAAAGTACGAAACGTTGATGTCAAAGTAGATATTCGTTGGGATGTCAACGTAGGTATGGCAGTATTCAGCGCAAGGAATGTGTCCGCACTGCTTTATAAAATCAACCAATAACTTGGAAGGTACATTAGCAGCAATGAAGCACTATTGCGCATCTTATTATTTTCAATCCATGAACGAAACCCAACAATAGTACACTTGGTGGTACATCTCGAGAATCGACAGCGCGTGTACAATCGCAGATAATGTACATACAACAGCTTATTGGTTCTACCTGCAACAACTTTAACTGCACTTTATGCTAAGACGATTTTTTACAAAGACTCTATTTTTTTCTCAGATGGATCTTTATTCCAAA